TTAACATGATCAGTCGTTCATTAAATAACTTTAATAGCAAATAGTTAAGAGCGATTATTTTTGAACTAGTTGGTATCTATAACTTACTTTCATAAAATTTTTTTGAAGTACAATGTTGTAGACTGAACAAAACTACTCCTGCCCATCGGGTGATACCCCAGGTGAAGATTCAGGTACGACTGCATGCGTTGTAATAGTTTTCAAGGTAATGTTTTATTCTGACGCCATTATATAAGCAACTGAAATTTGTATTTTTGTGGGAATTTAAGAAAATAATTTTAAGTTACAATCACTATTTCCAAAAAGTTTCATTGCTGCTGTTTCAGGAAAAGGTAGTGGTTGGCAATGCGGGCGATAGTCGAGCAGTATTGTGTCGTAACGGTGCGGCTGTTGAATTGTCAGTTGATCACAAGCCGGAAGATGACATAGGTTTATTTCTCTTTTCTTGTTCAATAAAAATGCAAAAATTAAATCACGATTAAATTCCTTTAAATCACGATTTAATTTATTTGATTTACGATTTAATTACAATGGTTTTGTTCGAAACACATTTGAAGAATGTTGAATGTTGCTTATATTGACTGTTTACGGAAGAGATTTTTTTAATTTCTAGAAAGGAGGCGAATTGAGACAGCTGGAGGAGAAATTAGTATGGATGGCCGAGTTAACGGTGGTTTGAATCTTTCCAGGTTAAATTACCCTTTCTTTCAGAAAATTCTTTCAATAAATAATTTTATTCTTCAGAAATTATTAGGGGCTGAAATATAATGAAAAAAATGGCGCGTTCCTTTCGAAAAATTTGACTGAAAGAGCTTCCATTGCGATGAGTTGCTCAGTGTATGGTTGAAAAAACATTGTGGACTTTGTGTATTTATTTATTAATTACTTTTTATTTCTTTCAGAGCACTAGGTGACCATTTCTATAAGAAAAATGCTGCATTACCCTTAAAAGAACAGATGATCTCGGCATTACCAGATGTTAAACAGTATAAAATTTTACAAGGCGACGAGTTTATCATTATTGCTTGTGATGGCATATGGTATGACTTGAATTTAATTATTCAAACTTGTATGCTCCAAATCTGTTATTTCTAAAACATTCAGTGAGGAAGGAAGGCGGCTATTTTCTGATTGTAATGTTTTGTGTTTTTGCTGTCCACTGATCTATAATTTCAGGAATTCTCTTACTAGCCAAGAAGCGGTTGATTTCGTACGGCGAAGGATAAATGATGGTGTAAGTTTGAAGGATATCTGTGAACAGGTTCGTCGTTCATTGCATTTTTTGTGATTTATATTCCAATAAAGTTCTAGATATTTGTCGAGGAATATCCTGCGCGTTAACTGATCTTAATCTTAAATTCAAAGGTTGTATGAATGAAGAAATACAGACAGACCATATTTTTGAGTTATGCTGCACGACATATAGTTTGATTTCGTAGTTCAAATAAAAAGCATTTACACAAACCACGAATCAAAAAGGTATCGAAATTTCAGAAAATATTTTTAACAGCAACACTCCTGCATAAAAAAAAACTTTCACTTATTTAGAAAAGGCAAATGGCACATCTTGAATTTGGGCATTAGGAGGTGGAATGAAAATGAAAAGTCTTTGCATTAAGATTGGAAGTTTTGTGTTTCGCATGTAGATGCATTTCATGGTATGCAACTTTTAATACTGTTTTGTATTTAAAAGCAAATATTCAATCCTAATTGATAGCATAATTTAGGTAGATACATTATTAACAAAATAAGGAGAAATTGTAAAGCATGTGTCTTGGTGCAGATGCTTTTAAGATATTGCGTTTTGCAGATTTGTGACCACTGTCTGTCACCAAATACAGCTGGAGACGGCACTGGTTGTGATAATATGACGATAATCATAGCACAAATACTGCGATCAGCATCGTTATCACAGCAGTTGCCGACGCCATCATCATTCTAACGTTTTTCTAGTTCGTCGTTTGAAGCATCCGAAAATCGTGTTTTTATACCTTCTTTTTCGAAGAGGTCCGTTATTTCACCCTTTTTATGCATTTTACTAAGAATATCACAACCTCCTATGAAATTGCCATTCACATAAACCTGAAAATTCACAAAAATTTTCTTTTACTTCTTCCCTACTTCATACTCATTCATTTTCTTCGAAATCTTCCAATGAAAGAAATGTAAATCAAAAAATATATCCTATAAAAGAAAAGAAATTTAATTATTGTTCTTTTCGCTCATTTTCCATTTTCCATTTTCCGTATTATTTGTCCTTTTGTATCCTATTAGTGCACATTATTTATGTATATTTTCTGATATTCTATAAATGCTTTCATTTTTCCTTGATATCAAAAAGTGGAAATAATTAGTTAAGCAGAAAAAGAAAATTATTTTTCTTTGACCAAGCGACATGGATGATTATGTTCCATTCTTATGTGCTTATTTTATATATTAAAAATTGAAATGTCGAACATTAATTATAAGTTACTGATGCATGGAATAAATGATCGAAGAAACTTGAGTACATAGCGGCAGTAGTATTTTCACAGTTTTATTCCTTCTGTCATAGATTTTAGAGTAAAGATGAAACTGTGATATTTGCATCTAAAGATTGCTTTTTTTCAAAGGGTGAGATATCGAAATATCATACAGAGATGCTAGTCAGTTTTACATCTTTTCATTCTTTCACTACACTTTTCTCTTCCTGGAAGAAATTGGTAAATGAATCAACATCAACTTACCTGAGGTATCGTAGGCCAGTCGCTATATACTTTGATGCCTTCTCTTAGATCATTGTCGTCAAGTACGTTATAATCTTTGAATTTAACCTCATGAAAGTCCAAAATCTGCAAGCAAAGAACTATGACATCCTAAAATAAACAGGAGGAAATTTGAAATACTTCATCAAGGGATGCCGTGAGGAAAGGGTCTGAAAACAAGTATCAATATAGACATTTCTCAAAATCTGAATATGAAGACCAACCGCTACGGTAATACTGGAATTGATTTTTTACCGTTTACACTGTCATTCAAAAACAAAAACTCATTCATTAGGACCGATAAAAGAAGAAATACAAAAATGGGTTGTTCGTAGCCATCAGTTAAAGATGAAATCATTCAAATTTCTCGGAACTAAGTAATTGCGATGGCACTTCTGACTTAATAACTACCTAAACTGACAAAATTTTCTCCTGTTTTATCACGTAAATCATGAGACTTTTAAAATGATGCTTTACTTCATCTTAATATTCAACCAGAATTCATTTAATATTTAACTAGAACTCACCAGTTTGATATTTCTACTAAAGCCACACATTGGTTCCAGCTGTGTACCTTTCATGAAAACTACTACCGGAGCAGATGAGATCATCTTTTCAATCCGTATTTTCAACGCATCAGACAGCGATGATGACGATGCACAGAAGAAAGCATACGAACTGGGTGCACGACATGCAACTTGCCTGATAGTCCTTGTCAAACCGAACATCTGCAGTTAAATTAAAAATTTTAGATCTACCATCATCCCTTGTACTATCTATCCCCTTGCAGATAAATGAATTTGAGTAGTAACTTTCATGAAAAAATTTTTACTGAGATTAATTACTGTAGCATAAAGAGTAAGGATGACATGGTCCCAAAGTGATAAATCTTAAGCTTGTAGATCAGTAAGTAAAAAGGCAGGCATCCTTTCTACTTTTTCGGAAATCATTCTATTGAATTATTTTGTCAAGCATTTGCCGTAAAGAGGAAAGTGCGCAATAAGCCCAGTCGAATTTGGTACTGTCTCATTAAGCATCCAAAACATTCACGACGAAAAATCATTGAATATTAGAAATTTCAAAGGAGGAGTAAGAGAAAGCCGTCGAATCATAAATGTTCAATTCGAGGACCTGAAATTGACTGGCAAAACACCTTAAAATATACTATTCCCAGAAAGTATAAGTATTGAAAGTAACAAAAAGATATGTGAAACAAAGCATCAAAAGCTTTTGGCCACGAATTTGTTTCACAATGTATCTGTTATGTCATGATCTAACAAAACAGTGTATTAAGAAATTCCTGATTCGATCAAAAAAACACCGGAATTACACCATTAAAGTATCTTTAGTTTGCAAATTTTGAGCATTTTTCAACGATAGTTGTTGAAAATACTACACAGTACAACATGCAAGAAAGAAAAAGTCTATATTAAAAAAAACCTTTAATATTTCAACTAAGAAGAAAACATTTCGGCTTAGCAATATCAGGTAAGTTTATAAAAATAGTATTTTCATCATCCTGATGATATCTAGGAATAAATACTGTAAAACGAAATCATCTTATTGGAAAAAAACTTGAAATGGTAAATTCTCAAGCCCAATCATTCAAAAGCACGAAAGAATAAATGCTACTTTATGCACTAGAAATTCAAATTGAGTCAAATGGACGATAAACTGTCATCAATGTATTATAACGTGGAAAAAAAACAAAACATGTAGCAATTTTAAATCGAAAATAAGTAATGGCAAGTGCTATAAACAATAATTAAAGCTTGTACGTTTAGAAAAAATAAAAAAAATAGAAAAAATCGAACAGCCTCTATTCATTCTTTCATCTTATATGTATCTATCGTTTATTCACAACAAAAAAACAATATGCTAATTTCAAAATATGATATCACAGGTCATCACAAAAAGTAGTCCGGCTGAGGCTTCTTCGCTGGAGCACCCCGATTTTCCTGTAAAAAATACATGCCAAATAAACGTTGAAATTATTTTTAATGCCTGCATTATCCAGAATTGATTCCAATGGATGCCAGCCAAGCCATAAAGAGGTGTATGTTAGATTGCAAAACCTATGATGGGCAGAAAGGCATGTGGATACAAATAATTTTTTCCAATCTCTAGATTTTTAAATTCAATCTTTTTAAGAAAAAAAATTAGGCCGATGAATAAACCTGTGGTGCGGCTTCGAAAATGGTAAAATCTTTATTTAGCTGTTCATCAAGTTCTAAAATAGCTGCGACATTACCACATCTATAAGTATTATTGATAAAAATTTGCAACTTGACTGTCAGTGAAGTAGTTAACCTAACTGCAAATCAAAAGTAATTTTAAATTAACGTAATTTACGGAAAGGAGTAACTTTAACAAGAAAGAACCAACATTACCTGTAGCAATAATTAGGCGCCGACCAGACCGTTAAGACCGTTTCACCGAAATGCCATTTGTAACCTTCCATAACAAGCTGATGGGCCCGACAAATCAAATCTACGCCATTTGCTTGGCAAAAAGCCTAAAATAATTTTGATCTGTCCTAGGCAAAATAGGGCTATAAAACTAAAAAATTCTGAAAAGAAGAAATGATAAAGGAGAACGTGAACTTGAACAGCAGAGATGACATCATATAATTTTTGTGAATTATCCGGAAAAGTGCTTGCATTGTGACATGCATTTATAAAAACACTTTGAATAACTGCTTCGACTAACCGTTTAGGCGAATTTGCTAAAAAAGGTAAAAACAAGTTTGAAAACTGGTAAAACTAACTTTAACAACATCAGAACCGAACAGATAACCTGCACCTCGAGGACTAACACCCCAACCGACACTCTCTTCCGGATCTGACCATAACAAATCACACATTGGGCCATCATGAGGTACCTGATAAACCAAAATCTCACTAATTACGAACCTTTTTCAAGAAATTTTTTGCTTATAACAATAAAACTGCATTGCATTTACCTCTTGCTTTCTATCGATTGTCCTAATTTGATCAAGATTTTGTATTGATGGCGATAAACCACCATGAACACAGAACACCTTACCCGCAATGACTGCAGAAAGACTTAGACAATCGAATACTTCAGTACAACACCTGAAATAGCAATCAGTTATAGCAAAAAATTGAGAAAAAGAGAGAAGAAACATTTAATACTACCATGAAGCCTATTTTAAAAATATCAAAGTAAAAAAGTTACCTCCACACGGCTGATGAACCGTATTTCCTCAGGCATTCGTCGTAAAAACCATACACTTGCGTAATTTGTCGAGATTCATGATTCCCTCTTATCAGCATCATCCTGTCGGGATATCGCACTTTTAAGGCTAACAATAACAGAAATGTCTGAAAAATTATAACCACTAAAGTGTGACTAAAGCAAAAGATGATTATATAAAATAGTTATATGTCCAAAAGTTATAATAAATCGACAGCGCAATACAATTACTTTATGGAAAATAAAAATTTCTTAATCTTCAACTTTGATGCTTGAATGAAAATATAAATTAGTAGCAAGTTTGAAGTAATTTAACCAAAACCAAATATATGAATCAATATAAGCAAAACCTAATAAAACTGAATTAATTTCATTACTATTTACAAGCTCTTATTTTAGAAATATTTAAAATGTGAGAAAAATGATTGCAGTTCGATTACGGTGACCAAAGGTGATGATGCAACTTACCTCAACAGAATAAAAACCACGATCAACAAAGTCGCCGAGAAAAAGATAATTAGTGTCAGGAACCTGACCGCCAACCCTAAATAGTTCCATCAAATCGTAAAATTGACCATGAATATCGCCGCATATCTAAATATCTCTTTAATAGAAAAGAAGTAGCTTTTGATTTTTAAAGTTGATTCGTAAATTTTTAGTTTCACATAAGTAACCTGATATGTGATAAAGAATTAGCAATCTTACATGTAATTTATTTGTCATTGTTTTTGCAGATGTTGCTACTTAACAAACTAATATTTTAGTGACAATGAATGATTAAATATTATATAACTATTAATTCAACTTGTTAACACTGTAAAAGATGTCATACAACTATGATATGTATTTCGAACTACTTAACTGATGTCGTACTGCATATTAATACATTACGCGCATAATATATTGATTAACTGTTAGTATCATGCAAGAAAATTATCCAGTCAAATTTAACGAATTCAAGCGATCAAATAAATGATGAAAGATCACCGTAACAGGAGAATCGACTACTTGCACATTGCCTTCTTGGAGAAGGATTTCACGTGCTTTAGCGCACAACGATTTTACCTCTTGCTCTGAGATACATTCACATCTCATCAATGTTTCGATCTGCCTTAAAATTATTGCTGGAAAATTATTACTGCTTAAATTATCGTACAAAACAAAATAGTGTAGTATATCTTCGATAGAGAGACCTTTATAGTTAATAGTTAACATTTCTCAAGTACATATAAAAATTTGTCTTCCCCATGAATATTCAATTTCCATAAAGTTTAAAAGGATCTTACTGTTAACCTGTCTAACTCATTCACAGTAACAGAAGTCGGCGTTGAAGGTAGCATCGAAGGCAACGTTTCATCCGCGTTCATTACCATGTCAAAATCTTTCTACTGTAATAAACACAATTAATGGACTAATAATTTTATATTTTATATGAAATAACGTGATGTTTCAAATAAAACTAGCAAAGAATATCGGTTATTCTGTTTTAATTCTATTAGTTTCACTAATTAAGAAATGCATACTGGAATAATTGCAGCTAACTCTATAATTAATTTATCACTCGCATATCCGAACAAATAAAACTTAATAACTCAAAAGAATCGAGAAAACAGCTAAAATATTAGCAACCCCAACCATCAAGTTTGTTGCTTAACTTCAAACTTCAAATAGGTCATGGAATCTGAATTTGCAGCCCGTCCATCTGAAATGATGGTCCGGCCGAAGATAAATGAAAAATTTGGTTTAATAGAATTGCCAATATGTGAATAAATGTGAGCATTAACTGTTGGTCCGACTGGATAGTTAACGTCCGGTATTCCGGAATCGTTTAATAGACGAGCCGGATGCTTGATAGATTAAGATACAACAAGTTTTTGAATATCTGAAGGGATGGGTGAAATATGAGATCGCAAATGATACCTCCTTCCTTGGACATATTAGGAAACCATTAATTGGCATGGATAATGTTAATGATTAATAGGTAGGAAGAATGATCTCTGATACACTTCTCACTTTCATTTTTTGCAATCATTTCTTTCCGTCATTTGCGTCGAAATGATAAAGATGTCGGTGTATCTCTTCTCTCTTCATTATTTATTGTTGCTTATTTGATTGATATCATTGAGATAGTTTTTGTGTATATATTTATAATGAAACATGTTAAAGTCAGCAGTTTCCTGCTTTAACTGGAATAATCACAAAAATTCAAAAATAAAAAACTTATTACATACCTATTTTTAGCTTGCAAAGAATTTAGAACATAAAATCAGTCAAAATAGTGCGATAAATTGGCACAAGTAAATCGAATTGGAAACTCTCGTTTAAATTTTAAAAGTGGGAGAAAACGAAAATATTATTTTATCACTTTTTTTTGTTTATTGATCTGTTTATATTATGTAATGTAAATGAGGAGAATGATACATTTCTACCACAAATGCGTACAGTATTCTGTCCATGTGCAATGCATGTGTATACGTTTCTTTTTTTTATATGATTATATGATGTCATAATT